CATCAAATTGGGCGGTTATCCCATCTCTAGCAAATAAAACATCCACCAAGTTAAAAATAAGAACAGGAGCTCAAAATTCTCAGCATCAATTCATTCCTTTCAGGAGTCAACAAGCTTAGTTAATGGCTGTGTACAAGAGAGAAAGAAAAGCATGTCACACAGAAGATGTGCCTCCTGCATCAGAGATTAAAGCAGTGGTCCCTGGACCCCAAACTTTTTAAGGTAGTACTCCCTTTGCCTTGTCTGTGCTCTTCCCCCTGGCACTCTGGAGCAACTCCAGGGACAAGTGGGGGATGCGACTAGGAGTAAGTGGGGGCTGAGTCTGGTGCCGCAGCTGGCTGTGCGTTTGGGGGTGGGAGCAGTGTCACAGTCAAGTGTTAGATTATTCTGTTATTCTCTTCCTCATTCTTTCTCTAGATGTTAGAATCCTTTGTACATCTCAGGCCTCAAGGTTCAGGTCAGACTCAAATTGCCCCACATTCTGCTAGTGTTTGGATTAAGGGTTTTGTTTGGGGTCCATTTCTAGTTTGATACCTCAGGACCTTGCATCAGCAAAATAAGAAGTCACAGCCAGGTGTGACTCCGCTCCTGACCTTGCCCCTAGTGTCAGGGCCGGGCCAAGAATGGAGCTGTGTGGAGGCTGGGGACTGGGCCACGTGCAGGGCTGGGAATTGGGATGTGGCAGGGGGTGGGGAGGTAGAGGAAGCACTTCACTGCCATCCGAGAGGGCTGGCCAGAGCCCCACTGTGCCTCCCCATGTTCCTCTGCACAGGGCCGGATTATGAAAGGGGCTTTAGGGGCTGCAGGTGCAACCCATGGCCCCATGCTATGACAAGGGCTCCGGGATGCCACCCCTAAAGCTCCTGCTTGTTGCAGCTCCTCCTGGTGGAGAAGGGAGAGCAGCTCTGCGTGCTGCTGCCCCCCATCCCCCGCACTGGAGTCGCATGCATCGCCACTTGCAGCACCTGCCTGCAGGCTCCACCTCTATTGCCCCATCCAGAATCACCTGTGCTCTCCCACCAAATGGGAGCTGTGCCAGGTAAGTGCTTCAGTCCTCGGCCCCCTCCTGCACCCTCCATCCCTCCCAGACATCTTAACTTCCCTCCCCCCGCCATAAAGTGAACCCAAATTTTATCATTTTAATAAGGATTTTAAGTCAATTTTGTCATATTTGAGGAGGGAGAAGATTGTTTTATGATTTTGAAATGGCTGAGATTGTAATTCTGTCATTGCAATACT